GTTATGTCTGAGCTGGTGGGCTGTGCGTTCTTTGTTGTTTGCTCGTTTGTGGGCATGATACTTTTCGCCTCTTTCTCCAATGGTCAGGCTCAGTCATTTGGCTATGGTACAACAGGGCAGGTGCAGCTGATGGGGAGTTGCTGGGATGGGTTTTTTGTGGCACCCACTAGGGTCGACAGGGTGAGCCGGGAATCAGTGCAGGGCAGGTTTTTGTAGGTCATGTCTTTGCTGCTCGTGGGCGTGATGTTCAGTGCACGGTGCAGGTAGGTAGGGAGGAAGGGGGAGATTGTGATGTGTGGAGCTAAGATAGGTATGGGAAAGAGGAGAGAGAGGAGAGAGGAGCAGGAGCCAAAAACATACAAAGAAGGAAACAAAAAAGAGTGGTAAGAGAGCTTGCCATTGGTGTGGAGAGATGAGAGACTGAGAAATGGAGAAGAACAAAAAAATTAAAAAGATGAAAGGAAAAAAATGAATAAATAAAAATTAGAAAAAGAAAAAGCCCCCAGGGATCCCATCAGTATGGCTACGAGGACAGAGGAGATTGCTCCCAGGCTGTAAAGTACGGCCTGGCTAAAAGGGGTAGAGGTGTCACACAGCGCCAGGTATTCAAGAGATAAGAAGAGAAGGTAAGTATACAGAGATGAGAAACTGAGCAATGAAGAATGAGAAAAAGGGAAAAAGAGAAGAAAACAAACAAAAAACCAAAAAAAAAATAAATAAAAAGAAACTGAGAAAAAAGAAATGCCCCCAGGGATCCAACTGCTTGACTGCACAGACTGAGGGAGTAGCTCCCAATCCGCGTGGTAATGCCTGACTAGAAGGGGCTTCCGAACCACCAAAAGAAAAATAAAACAAACGAATAGCCGCAGGGATTCCACGAGCGTGGTGGAATGGGCTGGGAAGCAGTTCCACAGTCAAGCAGCATTTCACAGTCTTTCAGGAAGAAGCAGAGATGGCACGTGGAGCCAGGTATTTGAGAGGAAGGAGAGGGAGGTGGTGAGAGGTATGGAAGAAACCAAAAGAAGTAGAAAAAGCAACACCAGCAACCAACAGATGGCACTTAGGGAGCCAGCCAGTGGGCCGGGTGGAATCCAAGTGGCACAGGGTTGAAGCCATTCCTTCATGGCCAAGAGACTGTGTCCGCGTGAAGCAGTGGAGGCCGAGTGGGGGTGAAGAAGGGTGGGGGGTGGAAAATGTATATCACTGGTTACTGGTTGTTCTGCCTCCTGCTGGGAGCTCCGTGAAGCTGCTTTCCCATACTCCCTATTCGCCGATCTCCAACAGGAGTCCAGCATGGTGGATCCATGCTTAGTTATCTGATAGGGGACCTCTGCTTGTATCTCTGCTCGCTGTTTGTTCTCTGCCAGTTTCTTATTCCATTAGGTGCTTGCTGAGTTCTTTATCTCTTCATTTAATGCTTAGGGTTTCAGGATTGATGTTTTTTTCTGTTTGACTTAGTTTTTTGGATCTTTGCTGTGGAGGGACAACGTGGTGCTTCTGTCTGTAGCGCCATGTTGCCTGGAAGTCTGTCTTACATACTTTGAACATGTTATCAGAAAGGGACCAGTCCCTGGAGAAGAATATCATGCTTGGTGAAGTGGAGGGCCAATGAAAAAAGAGGAAGATCTTCAATGAGGTAGAATGACACGGTGTCTGCAGCAATATACTGAAAGATAGCATCTTGGTCATCTTGTGCTGCTGTAACAGAAATACCACGAGTGGCTGGCTTTAACAAAGAGAAATTTATTCTCTCAGTCAAGTAGGTTACAAGTCCGAATTCATGGTGTCAGCTCCTCTAGGGGAAGGCTTTCTCTCTCTCTGTCAGCTCTAGAGGAAGGTCCTTGTCATCAGTCTTCCCCTGGACTAGGAGCTTCTCTATGCAGAAATCCCAGGTCCAAAGGATGTGCTCTGCTTCCAGCACTGCTTTCTTGGTGGTATGAGGTTCCCCACTCTCTCTCGTTTCCCTTTCCTTTTATCTGTGATAAGATGAAAGGTGGTGCAGGCCACACCCCAGGGAAACCCCCTTTACATTGGATCAGGGATGTGACCTTAGCAAGGGTGTTACAATCCCGCCCTAATCCTCTTTAACATAATCTAATCTTGCTTTATTAACCACAGGCAGAGATTAGGATTCACAACACGTAGGAAAATTACAATCACAAAATGGAGGACAACCACACAATACTGGGAACCATGACCTAACCAAGTTGACATATATTTTGGGAGGACACAGTTCAATCCATGACACATAGCAATGATTGTGAGGATGGTGCAGGACCAAGCAGTGTTTCATTTTGTTGTACATGGGATTGCTATGAGTTGGAACCAACTCTTTGGCACCTACAACATTATACAAGGAAGACCAATGAATTGCGTGTGATGTGGGTCAGCACTTTCTCTTATTTTCTTTCTCTTCCAGTTCTCTCTACTGTAGTGGGAAGGGAGTTATAGATGTGCCATGTGTCTCTAAAGAACCCTCTACTTTCACCTTTTGAAGGACAGGATCAGGCTGGGCCCCCAGGTAAGGTGGCTGAGAGTCATCTGTTTAGGCCTTTTTGGGGTCTGGTTCTATGCTAAAGGGGCAAGCCGGATACGCAAGCTTATCAGTTGTCCAGTATCAGGCACCAAGCAGAAGCCTGATTTAGGCTGTAAAAAAAAGTACAGTTGCCCTGGAGTTGATTCCGACTCATGGTGACTCTGTGCGTCAGAGTAAAACTCTGCTCCATAGTATTGTAATGGCTGATTTTTCTGAATTAGATTGTCAGGTGTTTCTTCGTAAGCACCGTTGGTGAACTTAAACAGCCCAACCTTTCGATTAGCAGCCAAGTGCATTAACCATTTGCACCAGTATAAAAAAACAAAACAAAACAAACCCATTGCTGTCGAGTCCATTCTGACTCATAGCGACCCAATATAGTCCTGGTTAATAATAGAGATGGTGCTTTTGACTGATACCTTCCTGAAGCACATCTCTCTGGGAACCTGGTACAATGGTAGAATGCTAAATAAGGAATTGGGATTTGGGCAATGGCTATTAGTTACTGACAACTTTCTCCCTCCTTTTAGAGCTGGTTTCTTGAATGAGCTGTGCACATTCATTGTATCCACTTCCTCATTTCACATTCATCCCCAGCTCTTTGCAATCTGGCTTCCACCCCCTACTGATGCACTTCCTTGCTAAATCCAGCATGTGCTTTCACTCCTTACCTTAGTTGACCTCTGTGCCTCATTTGCTGCAGTTAACCACTCCCTCCTGGAAACTTTCTCCTCCTCAGCTTCTAGGACATCACACACTCCTAGGTTTTCTCCCTACCCTGGTTTTTACCTTCTTTTCCCAGCCCCTTGATTATTGATGCTTCACGGGGCTCTGTCCTTAGTTTTCTGGTTCCCAGTGTAAGTATACTTTTATGGTCTCAGCTAGTAGAGATGGAACAGCAGACAGTGGCTGGGAGCTTGGGCTTGCTGCTGGGCTGCTTGGATTTGAATCTTGGCTTCATGTACTGCTTTCCAGCTGTTACTTAATCTCTTTCTGCTTCAGTTTCCTCATTTGTAAAAATGGGGATAATAGCAATACCTGCATAATGGTTGTTGTGAGGATTGAATGGGCGTGGAGGTCAAGCATGAGCACAGCATACGTACCTCCATTATGACACTGGGAGCATATTCCTTTGTCTCGCCAGTGTCTGAATACAATGCTTGGCACCTAAACACTTATTGAATGGATGTTTTTTCCTCTTAAAAGTCCTGAAAGGTAGATATTGCAGTTCTTATTCTTCAGATGATGAACCAGAGACCCAGAATAGGTCAGTGATTGGCAAAGTCACATAGGTGAAGAGCCAGAAGTCAGATGCGGGTCATTTAGACCCCGTCACCCCTACACTCTCCTGTCTGTGTTGCTCACTGAGAGTCCAGGGCCTTCAACCAAGGGTCAGTGAAAGGAGGAGAGACGATGGTCCAGGTCTCACCACTTATCACCTCTGAGACCCAGCGAAGTCGCTCAAATGCCTAAGCCTTAGGTTTTCCCATCTGTCAGATATAGTTATCTCTACCCTGCCTGCTCTTCAGGGTTATTGTAAGAATCAGTGACATAATATATCTGACAGCATTTGTACCAAGATGGGGCATTTTAATGCCCTTATAGTTGTTTTGTAATGTATAATGGTTTAAGAGAGTCTGAAGCAAGAGTCTGGATTTGAATCCCTGTTTTGCCACTTATCTAACCTCTCTGCCTCAATTTTCTCATCAGTAAAAGGCAACAGTAATGGTTCTTTTTTTCCACAAGCTTGTTATGAGGTTAAATGAATTAATACATGCAAGGGTTCAGAACAGGGCCTGTGTCACAATAATATCTCAAAAAGTGTTAGATGTTGTTGCACTTGTCTGTTATTGCAGTTTAATATCTTTTACCAAATGCAGGTTACTCTTCTGAAAACCCTGACTGAATTTTCTTAGAGTGGCAGAAACAAAATATTACAGAAATTTTGTTCAGGGTCACGTCAGACTTCTGCCAAAAAAAAAAAAAAATCCAAATCCTGTTTTTTTAATCAGATATCCCTCGAAGCTTAAGAGTGTTGGGACTAATGTGCTTGAATGTATTTTTGACTCAAGGTTACTGGTTTAGCCAGCCAGTGCCAGAAGTGCAGAAATGAGATACCACTGCAATTCCTTTTGAAAGAACATTGATACGTAAGAGTAGCTGAAAGCTTAGATGATTTATATTCGTGTTTTTGAAGAGTAAATTGAACTTTTGAAAACTTCTATTTCTGGTGTGATTTTGGGGAGAAAGTATTAACTTGTACCATTGGTAGGTTTGTTTCTTGACTATAACTTTTTCTTAAAGAAGAACAGAAAACCTTTTTCTCACTTTATAGAATTTACAGATAATCTCAAAACCTTTCTCATATAAAGCCATGTATGTTTTTAGTTTAGTGGTAATATTCTTTGGAAGTGTTTTAATGTACATACGTTAATTTTGTGCTCTTTGACTATTTGTTTTACAGGGAGTCTGCGGTCTTGCAGTTCTTCAGACTGCTTTAGTAAAGTGATGCCACCAAGGAAAAAGAGAAGACCTGCATCTGGAGATGATTTATCTGCCAAGAAAAGTAGGCATGATAGGTATGTTGCAGAGACAGTAGATCAAAATAATTGGCATACGCATCGAAGATGCACATTTCTACCCAGTCCATTATCGGTCTTCTAAGTCTGCATGTACCAACTCAAATATTGTTTTGATTCCGCCAGATGATCTTTCAAAGTGCAGTTATTTAATGATACTTATTTTATGTCTAGGAGCCCTGGTGGTGCAGTGGTTAAGAGCTTGGCTGATGACTAAAAGGTCAGCAGTTCGAATCCACCAGCTGCTTCTTGGAAACCGTTCTGTAGGGTTGCTATGAGTTGGAATCGACTTGATAGCAACGGGTTTGGTGTTTTTGGTTTTTTTTTTTTGTATTTTATGTGTGGGTTTATAAAACATAAAAACAAATTAGCTAATTGGACTTCTTTGTAATTAAACTTCTGTGTTAGTCCACTGATCTACCAACACTGGTGTAGAGTTTCTTTCTTTCCTTTTAAAGTTTTGCCGTCTGTGCCTGTTGAGGGCCACAGAATTAGTATCTGTTCTTTAAAAGGGTCTCACTCACTAATACAGTCACGAGGAGTCCCATAATTGCCTTTATAAGGGACCTGGGCTGAATGGTTGGAGAGAGCTGCCTGTACTGAATGCAGTAAGCCTGCCTGGACTATCAACTGTGCTGACGTTTATTCTGGTGGGTGGAAATTTGTTAGAAAACATGGGGGAAAAAAAAAAAAGACTACTTAAACCATGTCTCTTTCAGACAAGTGAACTGTTAACTTTGGTAACTCCAAAGGTTGGATTTGTTTGTTTTAGGCCTCTCTGTGGTTTCACACTGATTTTTAAGTCATGTTTTCTTCCCTTTTTTTAAACAATGAGCAAACATCGCAGTTTAATCTTTTCTGCCTTATTCTACCTTTCCTCCTTCTGGCTCTGTAGGTCACTTCACTAATGGGTCTCAATTTCCACACCTATAAATCCAGGGGATGGGTGAGATTTTTCTGTTTCTTTTTTGCTGTGATGCTTCATATGCCACAACTCAGTTGGAGGGATAGGAGGGGCAGACTCTGAAAATATGAAAATAATGTTGCTGTTTCTATCTCAAATGAATGGAAAATATTATTTAAAAGAAGACATCAGTAATTTAGAAGATAAAAAAAACCAAACCCATTGCCATTGAGTCGATTCCAACTCATAGCGACCCTACAGGACAGAGTAGAACTGCCGTGTAGAGTTTCCAAGGAGCTGCTGGTGGATTCGAACTGCTGACCTTTTGTTTAGCAGCTGTAGCTCTTAACTACTGTGCCACCAAAGCTCCTAATTTAGAAGATAGTCGCCAGCAATCTTTAGGCCACTTTGGTGTAGATGTTATCATCAGGAAATTGTTAAATGCTAATAATCACATAGCATTTTGTGACTTTACAGCACTTGTTATTTTTTCACCACAGTCTAATTTAGTATGTGAAGCCAGTTTAAAAACTCAGTCAGTTGCAAAAGGATGAGGTACCCTTACTGATAGCATTTCAGTAGTCACATAAGGGATGGGGAGCCATAACATTTTCTGAATTATCATTCTCGGTCTTTTTTTTCTCATATAACTTTATTTACACATCATAAAGTTTACCCATTTTAAGTGTACAATTGAATGATTTTCTTTAAATTTGCTGAGCTGTGCAGCCGTCACAAATCAGTTATAGAATATTTCCATCACTCTAGTTAGATCTCTGGTGCCCATTTACATTTACAGTCACTTCCTGTTCCCATCCCAGGCAACCACTTTCTGTAGATTTGCTTTTCCTGGACATTTCATGTAGATGCTCTTCTTTCACTTAGCATAATGATTTTGAGATTCATTCATGTAGTAGTATGTATCAGTATTTCGTTTCTTTTTATTGCCGAATAGTATTGCATTTGTGTTATGTTGGGCTTCTTTCACTTAGCATAATGATTTTGAGGTTCGTTCATATAGTAATATGTATAAGTATTTTGTTACTTTTTATTGCTGAATAGTATTCCATTGTATGGTCTTGGTCCTTTTTTATGTAAATTATTTTTAAGTAATTCAAATATTTCAGTATCATATATATATAAGTCTGCAGGTTATTGACCAATCAGACTTTCAGCTGAGATGGGCATGTGTGTGCCCAGGATTAGTGTATGTCTGAGTGCTTAGGCCCGTGCTCATCCTCGTTTCCAGCTAGTATGGTACTTTCTATAGGAGAAATTTAAAACTGGTGGTTTGCAATTTCAGTACCTCAGCACCCTGTAACTGTGCTCTTTTTTGGTGTTAAAACCCAGAACCTGTAATCAGAGGTTTATGCAGATATTCTGGTGAATATCTAGGTCATGAATAAACACTTATTAAAAAAAGAATTACATATGATTTTTATATTCTTATATCCTATGTAAATAAAAATCATATTCATAAATATTTATATGCATAACAATATGGGCAGTTTATAGGTATGTAAATAAAAACCCAGCAACCTATTGCCATGAAGTCAATTCTGATTCATGGCGACCCCATGTGTCACAGAGTAGAAATGCTCCATAGGGTCTTCTTGGCTGTAATCTTTTCAGAAGCAGATTGGCAGGCCTTTCTTCTGTGGCACCACTGGGTGGGTTCAAACTGCCAGCCTTTAGGTTAGTAGTCAAGCATAAACCATTTGCACTATCCAGGGAGCTTACGTATATAAATAATTTTTATATCCTTATCATCATTTTGGGGCCCTGGTGGCACAGTGGTTAAGAGCTATGGCTGCTAACCAAAAGGTCAGCAGTTCAAATCCACCAGCCGCTGCTTGGAAACCGTATGGGGCAGTTCTGCTCTGTCCTGTAGGGTCACTATGAGTCGGAATTGACTTGACAGCACCTTTTTTTTCTTTTTTTTTTTAATCATTGTTTTAAAGATAATGCCTCCTCTCCCCTTCCTATGTGGAGAATATCTTGGTCCTCAGCCCTGGTTACCATGAAATAAGGAGTTCCTGCAGAAAATCAGTGTTGCAGGTGGAGTGGCTGTAATTCTTGAGTTACTTCTCTAGCTTATGCTGGAATTAGAAGAGAATGGCAGAAGCCAGGACTTCTCTGTACTTCTCTCTCCTAAGGTTTTTAAGGTTACATTAATCAAGAAACCATCCAAGGGACTTTCTGTGGTCAACCTTATAGCTGGCTTTATTTTTTTCCTGGATGCTTGGACATGATTTGATGTTTCTTTTTATTTGTTTAATGTTCTCCTGAGTTACCCAGTATTGACAAATTCTTCCGTAGACTCTGCTCTGTGTCTAACCTGACACGTAAGACACAGAAGCCAGGAGAACTTAATGGAAAGACATGAGCAATTTCTAGGACCATCGATTGAAGAAGACACCTTTAGACATTTCTTCCCTATCTCACTATCATTCTTTAATTTGCTCTGGTTCGTGAAGTAGAAGGGACTACTTCAAATACCTGTTCTACTCAGTTCTTACTGATTATTTGTTAATCAGAGAAAAACCCATGTTAAGTGCTTACCCTTTAATTCTATATTAGGTGTAACTGTGTTTAAACACTGTAATTATAAAAGCTGAGACTTCCAAACACAGGAAATAAAATGTTTAAAATACACTTAAAATGGTGATTGAATAGCTATCTGTTTTTAGTAAAAGAATAAAAATTATCTGCTACTTAAAAGGACTCAGTATGTGTATTTTAAATAACTTAACACTGCTTTCTCAATTTCTAGCATGTATAGAAAATATGATGCAACTAGAATAAAGACTGAAGAAGAAGCCTTTTCGAGTAAGCGATGCTTAGAGTGGTTCTATGAATATGCAGGTAGGTAATCATTTATATCATCTAAGACCGATCCTTATGAAAATAAAGGAGTACCTTAGAGGAGATTAAAGAATGAATGAATGTGTTCTTTTAGAATTTGGTATGTGCATGCGTGTGTATATATGTGTATTTGTGTTCCTGTATAAGGAAGAGAAGGAGGTAGGGGCATAGTTGAAACAAATCATCAGATGTCCTATTTATAGCCAGATGCTAAGCCAAAGAATTCTGAACGCCAGAAAGGAACTGAAAAGATGAAATGCACTCGGGAGAAATACTTTGGATTGCTAGGAAACCTATTTAGAATGCTCATAATGGGTGATTATTTGGTTTAAGCACCGAAATTAAAATAAGCTTTGCTGTTTTGAACATGTATGTAGTACAGTGGGATTTCCTTATATTAAGTGCCTCTTTCGATATTTGGCAGAGAATGTTTTGTCATTTAAAATGTCTTAAATTCAGTCCTGTTTTTGCAACTTAATTATAGTTGGTTGGATGTTACTGTGGCTGTGCATGGTGTAAAAAAAACAGAAAGAAAAATTTTCAGCCAAGTTTGAGCTAAAGGCTCTTTCTACCTTTTTTCTTCCCCACCTTATTTCAGGCCCTCCCACAACCTATCAACTTGACTGTTCCACACCCTTTGAAATAATTTTCCTGTCATCAGTCTCTGTCTATTCCCAGCGAGGTTTCATGGGCCTCCTGTTGTCTTTCTTTAATAAAACACAACAGCAAATCATATCATTCCTAATAATCCACAGTCCCCTTCCCCAGCTTTTAAATCTCTGCTACCTACAACTAACTCGCTGTCCCTTTGCCTGGAATACTTTTCTCTACTTTTCCATCTAATAAGCTGCCACAGATCTCTTAAGTACCTTAATTAACTTAATAGCCCTCATTGTACTGCCACGGGACAGTGTTTATAACTTGTTTTGATACCTTCTTATTGAGTATCAAAATTAGGAGTACCCCTGTGTCCAGATCCTGCTGTCTTCCCCCTCCCCACTACCCGTTTTCTAATAAGAACCTTGCCCTTTGGTCCCAGAGATTGGTCCAAGGGGCTGGCAGGTAACCGAGGCCAGACCAGTCAGACAAAATCTCTGGGGGCTTTCAGATTGAAATTGGCAGAAGACCATCTTCCCTTTCTGGTAGTGGGGTTGAAAGGATGCTGTCCTGGTTCTGCAGTTCTCTGGAATTTTCTAAGCCACCCCAATATCTTTCTAATGAATTATCCTTCTTTACTTTAGCTAGTTTGCACTGGATTTTGTTCACAGGGCATGGACGCTAGAACAAACACTTATATAGTATTAGAATTTGTTTTCATTTCTACTTCATTAGAGCAAATCTCTGTTGAAGACATTTTGTATTCCTAGTTCCTAGCAAAAGTGGTTGGCAGTTTACCAGGTGTTCAGTAAATGGGTGCTGAATGAATGAGGAATTTATCATATTCTTATCCCTTTGATTATAATGATCTGCTGCTTTCCTGTATTGATTCACATTTATTATCATAGCAATGTTATTATAAAAAGGAAATTTTAAACAGAGAAAAAATACATTTAATCCTACCATCATAAAACAGCTGTTTTGATTTGTGTGTGTGTGTCTTCCTCTATAAGCAAACATAAGTTTTTCCATAGTGTAAGCCACTGTTTTTGTTTTTTAAGATAGCAGGGTACGATTTTCCTACTTGTTTGGCTCTCTTGGACAAAAGATGACATTTTGGGAGTAAAGATTAAGCCACATGATTTAGGTTCTTCAAGATCCTTGCTGGGTGATTCCTTGTAATTCATACCTGCAAGGAGTTTGTCTAGCTTTCCCCATTTTTGCCTTTTCTTCCTCCCTTCCTTTTTTTTTTTTTTTTTGCACATATTTTTCCGTGGTTTCATCAGTAAAGAAAATGACTTAGAATTGGGTATAACTGAAGGCCCCAGCTGGTACCTGCTATAATTTTGAATATTCCAGCCACCACATGAATCAAAACTTGTAGGTCAGCATTAATCAAGAAAAACTAGTTGTGACAAGAACCAGGGTGACTGACAGGTTGTGCTATAGGATGAGTCTGTAGGAGCAGGCTGTGAGGCCACAGGCCCCCTAGATACTAGAATGAGGAGGGCTTTAACACCCACTTAGTAGCTGCGGTGTGTTCATCTTCCCTAGGAGAAAGCCAGCTGGTCTGCTCAGTATAAACACTGACTGCCCATACTTTAATCCAGAGTAGAGTGGAGAGGGAAGGTAGGAGCCTGGTGGTGCCGTTGTTTCAGATGGATGGACCTTTAGTTCTTCCTGGAGTTTTCAGTTTCACTTCTCATTCCTGCTGCCTGCTTTCCATGGCATCTGCTGCCTGAGCCCAGCTCTTCCTCAGCTTCTGTCTGACCAGTTAACTACAGCCCTCTTTTGTAGCCTTCTCATAGCACATGTCCAGAATGCAACCTCTCACCTTTTTTTTAATCCCCGTCAACTCAATTTCTGACTCCCAGAAATTTAATAAATAAAACTCCCTACTTTGCCAGCTCTTGCCCCTGTTCTCTGTGGTTATAGGATATACTCCTTTTTGGCACTTTTAGTTCTCTGTGATCTAGAAAGGACGAGGGCCAGATGTGTCTTTTGGACTTCGTCTGAAAGTGGAATCCCATTTCTTTTCATTTAGCATTAAATAATCAGTTGTACATAAATAATTTATTTAATGATTTCCACTTTCTGAAATATGTCTACGAATAAGGAATTCAGCCAATAAGTACCAAAGTTGGTTTCACACAGTTACTGCACTAAAGCTCACATACATAGGTCATAAGAGTTCCATAAGCCCCGACTGTAGGTCCTTACTCTTTCTTTTGGATTCACTTCTGTAACAGAATTGTTTCTTGGTTTCCCATAGTGAGATTAGGGACCAGGAACAGGTGCTAGAGTTAGGCACGGACAGTTACAAAAGGTGACAAAATGGTCAGACAGCAAAGGAAAAGATATTAAAAGACTACCAAAGGAGACAATGTGGGGGCCCATTTTCTTCAGTGACACAGTATGATGTAATTCTGAAACTTTAATATGAGGGTCTTGGGCCACCATGGAAAGGTTAAACATGTTTAGTTTGGGGCATCTGCTTAAGTTGACGGATGTCAGTGTATCTGTGTTTCCAAATGTAGCTCCACTACCTTGTCACCCTGGGCTTTCCATAGCTTATTATTTTAGGTAAATTTGTTGTGTTTTGTTTTGCAAAACTGTCTCCCTCAAACTCCAGCTTCTGTCTGACCAGTTAACCACAACCTCCTTTGCAGCCTTCACTTAGCACATTCTAGCATGCAGACATTCTAGAATATACACACACACATATATATTTATATTTGAATATATAAAACAAAGCATTTTGTTTAACACATTTGTGATTAAAACGAAAATAATGGACATGAGGAAAAAGTATTTCCTTTGGCTAGCTTATGAGGAAGGACCTGTGTTTGGACTTTGGGGGCTAACTCTTTGTGTTAGCTAGTGGCATATTTGTTATCTTGCTTGACAGAGGTTGTAGCCTAAATTCTGCGAGTGAATCAATAAATTTAGTGTAAACACAACCAAAACCCCAGCAAACGGTATGATTACAACTAGATCTCAATGTGTGCATGGAAAAGATAAAGAGAAAAAAGAAAAAGTTGTGTTAGATGGCGGGGTTATGGGTAACTTTTAAATATGTTTATAGGCAAATTATATTTCACTATTTTGAGGATAATATTACTTATGGCAGAGCCATGCCATTACAAATCATACTGTAAAAGCTTACTCTTTTCATACACACATGGGTGTTTGTATACATACGTAATATAAAAACACCACTGCACAAAATTTGGAAGAAAGAAAAAAACATGGATAACTTAACGTTACTACTGCAAAGTATATTTCAGCAAACCTTTCTTGAGGGCTCACTATGTGCCAGGCTCTGGGATGTAGAGAACAGTAACTATGCTCAGAGTTCGTTTTCTAGTGTGGCAAACTGACACATAAATTGAGAAGCATCTTACAATGAATATTGTAAGAAAATGGAGGCAGTAGCCAGTTTGGAGGGTGTATGAAGGAAGAGCAAGCTGGGAGACACCCAAGCTGTGGGCAAAGGCGTATGAGGAATCCACGTGGTTTGGTAGGCTCAACTATAGGGTGTAGAGAAAGAGCCTTATTAAATCAGGAAGGCCAGGAACCAAATACAGAAGAATTTAAAAAAAAAAATTGTAAAGTAACTTCTCTTTTCCAACTCTGTGCAACCATCTTCAATGAGTCATATCAGTAGATACCAAAAAGACGTCTGTTCCTGATTTTAAAAACAAATGAAACCTCTTAGCAAAATAGGAATAGTTGGATATTTCCTTATGAGAATAGTTATTTTTTAATCTCACAATTTAAACCTTACAGTAGTGGAATGGGGAAAAGAACTGTGATAGATACAGGAACACACACATACACACATGTATATATGCATACAGTAAAGTAATGTAAAACGTATCAATTAAAGAGAATAAAGTAGATGTATAGGCACTCTCACTGGAAGATTACTCAACACTTTAAGTGAAAAAACAAGGTATAGATAGGTTCAGCATAAACCCACGTGTAAACAAGAGAAACCGCGTTTCATTATATGTTTGCATATACATAAATACATAGCAGAAAGGTCATGGAAAATACATGTCTAACTGGTACGATAAGGGAAAAGGACAGTTTTTTCTTTTTACTGTTATTAGTTTAAATTATTTTCACAATGAGAATGTATTAGTGTATTGCTTGGGTTACGTATACTTACCTGTGCACAAGTGGATGTGCACTGTCAGACCCAAAGCTAGCAACTTAACAAATGATGAAATGCTAAATGTATTCTCATTTGAGTGAGGAATGAGATAAGGATGCTCACTTTCACTTCCCTTGTTTGCCATTGTTTTGGAGGTCACTAGCCAGTGCTCTTAGACAAGAGAAAGAAATAAGGGGCATAAATATTGGAAAGCAGGAGGCAAAAATGATCATTGCATGAAAACAAAATGATTAAATGATTGTATACCTGAAAAACCCAAGAGCATTGCCTGGACAAACTTAGAAACACTAAGTAAATATATACATACCCCTTAAACGTATGGAATTCTATAGATGGACTATTTTGGGAAGGATCTTTAAAGAAGATCTTTATAAATAGTTGTCTCTGGGGAATAGGGGATGGGTTAGAGGGAAACATTCACTTTTCAAAACATTTATTTCCATTTTTAAATGAAAATTTTTATCATGTTCATGTATTAATATAGCAAAAAAACTAAATTAAGTTAAAAAATAAGTAAACTTTTATTTCTCCCTAATAATCAAGATGAGAAAAATAGGAATACATAGGGGAAAAAAGTCCAAGAAAATAAATGAGGGAAAAGAAATCCTAGAATACATACACATATATGTATATATTTATATTTGAATACATAAAGCAAAGCATTTTGTATAACACACTTGTGATTAAAAGGAAAATAATGGTGCGACGAAAAAATACACGCTTTGGCTAGATTATGAGGAAGGACATGAGTTTGGACTTTAGGGGGAGCCATTATATAATTAATATATAATTAAATGATTTGAAGCAGAGATGTGACATAAGACTTTGAAACAAACTCTTGCAGGTAATTTTAATGTTCCTCTTTTGTTGAGAACAGCTACCTTATACATACTTTCGTAGTGCTGTTATCACTTGTATGCCTTACCCTCTCTCTGAGACCATAAGCTTATGGCAGGCAGAGACCATATTTTATTCATCTTTGTACCGTTGGAAACTACACTCATGCATAGCTCCAGGAATGTGTCCAGTAAATGTTATCTGAATGGAACTGAAATATATTAAGAAGGTGGATTCTGCTGGACTTGGCAACTTGCTGGGTCCAGAAGCTATGGGAAGATTGTAAAGTGATTTCTGTATTCTAGTATTTGTTTATTCATTCCATTCATTCAGTAAACCTTTATTGAGCAGTTACTCTGTGCCAGATGGTATGCTGCGGTTGTGGGAAAAATTGACTTTCACTTTAGGAGCTTAGAGGAAATTTTAAGGCAATGTACTAAATGCAGAAGAACCATTCCTAGCATTTAGTGGGGTTACAGAGAAGGGATGCCTGACCCAGCCTCTGCAGGTGGGGTGGGAGATTGGAAGGACTTCCTGTCTGGTTTCAGTCTCATTTCAGAGTGTCTGGTTTCAGAGTGAGTTAGCCAGGTAAAGATGGGGGAGAGGATGTGGAAGGGGATGAGAGGAAGTTGATCTGAGGCCATAGAGTAATATGGTGTTGGATATGACTTAGGATGTGTATGTGAAGCAAACCCACAGGCAAGTAGGTATTTCTTTAATGTATATTCATTCAGCAAACATTTGTTGATTCACTTAAGAAATGTAAGACTCAATTAAGAAATATTTAGAAGGTAAAGTTGGCAGCACACTTGATAACTGATTAGCTGTCGAGATTGCTGGAGAAAGGAGAATCCAGGGTGATTCCCAGGTTTTTATTTCTTGTGGCACCATCAGGTAAGACAATATAGGAGAATAAGCAGGTTTGGCATGGAGCAATGATCAACTTAGTTTTTGTGAGATGGAGTTTGAACATGTCAAATGCAGGAGTAGGTTTGAGGCTGAAGAAAAGTTTAGGTGTGGCAGTTGAACAGGAGGTGGGAATTGGGATAGCCAGGTGGTGATGTGCAGTAAACGGTCCAAAAGTAAGGGGGAAAGTGTGGACTCGAAAGAGATGTGAGTGGTACCTGAAACTTTGAGTATGGTTGAACTATCCTAGGGAGAGTATATAGAATGGACTAGAAGAAGATTAAGGATGGAACTCTGCACATCAAATTTAAGGAGCTGGAAGAAGGAAAGGAGCCCTTAAAGAAGCCAGAAGAGTGGAGATAGTAGGAAAACCAGATGAGAGAGGGTGCTTCCAGAAGCGATAAGGGGAAACATTTTTGTGAAGAAAGAGCTGCTTCAAATTTTCAGATATCCCAGAGAGGTCAAATAAAATAAGGACTGAACATGTCTAATAGATTTGACAATTAGGAGGTTATTGGTGACTTTGGCAAGAAGAGTTTCAATGGAGAGATGGGAATGAACCAAATTGCAATGGGTGAAGCATGAATGGGAGATAAAGTAGAGACAGAATTTGTGAACAGTTCTTTCAGGAAGAAACAGAGGTAAAGCTAGAGCAGGAAGAAACAGGGTTTATTGCCTTTATCAAGTACAAAAAGACTACTCGATTTTTTTCTGTGTGAAAGAAACATTTATGTTATTTCCTAATTAATTTTATAAAGAATATTATGTGATTCTTTGCTGACCATGTTTCCAAAAATTATTGTATGTATTGAAATTATTACCAAAATAAGAGTAGAGCTTTAATCCACTTTAAAAAGCAGGAGTTGAACTTAGGTAGCCTTACTTTTGGACATAAATGGTAAGATGTATATTACATGTCCAAAGGTTGAAGGACATATCTGTATATTGGTTTAAATGAGCAGAATAGAATATTTTAAAAATATAACTGAAATTCCAGAATATTTTTCTGTCTATACTTGGAGTGTTGATTTTTTTCTTCAGAAAGGAATTATGTTCTTTACAAAGGACTTGAATAGATATTTCTCCAAAGAAGATAATACAAATGGCTGATAAGCACATGAAAAGATGCTCAACATCGTTAGTTATTAGGGAAATGCAAATCAAAAGCACAGTGAGATACCACTTCATACCCGCTAAGCTGTTTAAAGAATAGGATGGCTATTATTTTTTTTAAAAAAAGGAAAATACCAAGTGTTAGGGAGGATGTGGAGAAATTTTAACCCTCGTGCATTGCTGATAGGGTTGAAAAATGGTGCAGCCTCAGTGGAAAACAGTTTGGCAGTTCTTCAAAAAGTTAAACATAGAATTTACCATATGACCAGAAATTCCACTCCTAGATATATACCCAAAAGGATTGAATACAGGGACTCAAACAAATACTTGTACACCAGTGTTCATTGCAGCATTATTCACAACAGCAGAAAAGTGGAAACAATCCAAGTGCCCGTCAGCAGATGAATGGATAAACAAAATGTGGTACATACATACAATGGAACATTACTCAGCCATAAAGAGAAATGAAGTCCTGATACATGCTACAACATGGATGAACCTTGAAAACATTATGCTAAGTAAAATAAGACAGACACAAAAGGACAGCTGTTGTATGGTTCTTCTTATATCTTTCATAGAAACAGAAAGTAGATTAGAGATTATCAGGCACTAGGGGGAGGGAAGAATGAGAAGTTACTGCGTAAAGGGTATGAAGTTTCTATTTGGGGTGATGTAAAAGTTTTGAATAAATAATGGTGATTGCACAATATTGTGAATATAATGTCACTGAATTGTACACTTAAAATGATTAAATAGCAAGTTTTATGTTATATATATTTTTCCTCAATAAAATAAAAAAAAAAGTTATGGCCTTTAAGTCATTTTGATTTTAGTTTACTTTGATAATAAGTATCTTGATAGTATAAGACTGTTACAGTACAGTGTACATGGTTGGACTTAATTGATGTAAAATTGCATTTCATTTGTAGGTGCTGATGACGTTGTAGGTCCTGAAGGCATGGAGAAATTTTGTGAAGACATTGGTGTTGAACCAGAAAATGTAAGTCTAACTTAATTTTTACTTAAGCTTCAACAATGAGTACGTGATTTTTATCACCTTATCAAATATTAAAAGCGCTAATGTCAAACTAATGAACTCTTAGAAAATGTGACAAAGTATACAGTAATAGATATTTTTTATTTACATTTGGTCGGGATAATTTCTCATCTACAGTAAATTTAAACAAAGTCGTTTAGCACACATCTTTCAGATGTGAAGGCATTGAAAGGTATTTTTTTATACAGAGTATTATGATAGGATGACATAGCATACTAACTTTTCAGTTCTGAGGAAAAGAGTGCTTTTAGAAAATCCATCAGTCTCTTGATTGATTTTGTTTTATGGAGTATATTTCTTGGTGGGATTACTTTTTTACCATAAGAGAACTTTTCTTGTTCTTACTTTTGGTTTTTAATATTGCATACAATTAAAGAAATCGTATCTTTGGGTTGTTAGATTTGGTGAGTTTCAGAATTTTCATGTAAGAACTCTGAAAGGGTTAAATTCTTAATTGCCAGATAATAGTGGAAGTTTATTTATATTTGTTATAAAAGTAAATATAAAAAGACTAAGTCGGTGAATCAGTTGTTTTTGTTTTCCTTAGATCTTTTGTCTCTTGACAAATAAATAAGGAAAAAGTAAAGGAGTGTTAGTTTTTATGAGACAGTCTACAAAATAAGTTCCAATTATAATTTAATTTGTAAGCACAATATTTTCTCGTGATTGGGATGGTGTAACTACAGTCATTTCTTCTCTCATTTCTTGTATCTAAAAGGAAAAGAAAACATTGGTGCAGGATAAAGTAATTAAACTCGATATTTAAAAAGTGCTTTGGGCATGTGTACCTACAGTGACAGATCAGCTGGGGGACCGAGTCACTGTGCCCTCTATAACTTTGTCTCCTCGGTAGTTGTTCAAGCTGAAGGCAGAGTTGGTCCAGGACTTTGAATAATTATACATAAGGGCTTTGAGTTGTAATTATTAAGTATTTTTCACACCTCTTTTACTTATGTTTGACTTTAGCTTCAAAAGCAATTGCTTTTTAGTGTAAAGACTAAGTATTTCCTTTTAAAAAAAATTAGAAGTTATTTTATATAGCTTAATTATTTTTGCATAATTCTTAGCATCTTGTTATTGTTGAATTTTTTTTCCTCCATTCACATATTGTCTCTCGTAATGCTAAGATGAAAAATTATGCTCATACAAGTGATCTGGCTCATTAACTATGCAGTTTAATATTACATTACCCTCTAATTTAACAAGTATGTCTTAGATCCTTAGTGAATTTATGATCTGGAAGCGATCTCAAGAGTCTTCCCCTTCATTCAGACTGTTACCAAGTCATCTAATACACATGCACATATGTCATGCTTTTAAAGAATACTAGGAATTGAGACTTAACACTATTTTCTTTAAATTGTTTTACCTTTACCATTTCTGGGCCTTTGTACCCCTCCCCCATACACTTTAAATTTTCTAAAGTGTTGTTGGAGTATCTTCTAACTCATTACATGGACCTTTGTCATATATACATATATGTAATTTTTTTTATGTTAATGTGATATGGTTTGGCTACCTTAGTAAATTATTCAACTTGGTGTAAAGGTTTAGAGACAGCTAGGTCAGTAGTATTTTGCCTGATGTAGTCCTTAGACTACAGAATTTTCACCTTCCATGTGGGAGACCCAGGTTCGATTCCTGGTGAATGCGCCTCAGGCATAGCCACCGCTCGTCTGTCAGTGGAGGTTTGCATGTTGCTGTGATGCAGAACAGGTTTCAGCAGGGCTTCCAGACTAAGAGACGAGGAAGAGAGGCATGGCGATCTACTTCCAATCATTAGCCAATGAAAACTTTATGGATCAGCCTATGCGTCAGGCTGACTTAATAGCGCTAACAGCAACAACAGCCCTTAGACTAGTCCCTAAACATAGGAAGAGACCATTTGTGATGGGATATGGGCCAAGCTTGGGAGAGGATTTTCTGGACAGTGTAATCAGAGGAGTGAGAGTGAGTTGGGGATGAGAGGCAATCCCAGAGGTTCTACCAAGGGGGCAGTAGTGAGCGTTTGGTCAGAGGAGTGGGCACACTGTCCAGCCAGAAGTCACCTGGTGATTGGGAAGAAAAGGTCAAGGGTCAGGTGTGAGAGGGATTAGGTGAGCAAGCATTTTAGTCTCAGAGGCAAGAAAAGCCTGTAAACGGCAGGGAAGCACTGATGTCAATTCTGACAAAGAAATGGGGCACAGCTCTTCATGGTTTCTCACCCCCAAATACCAGTACTCAATAAAAGATAGTTATTATTATTACCCTTTTTTGATAGTTATGAGACCTTTAGAACTCTTATTGCAGGATTAGAAAATCTTAAAATGCTATGCATGTTGAAGACTAAAAGACCCAATTCAGAATATTATTCCAAGTATTTATTACTGTATTTCAATTCCAAGACTGCACCAATAGAAATTTTATATCATCACTGAGAAAGAAAAATGTTGCTAAATAAATATGGTCTGCCATTTGTGATGAATTATAAATCCCAATTTCAGAGACGTTAACATTTGAAAAGCAGTGAAATAACAGTGTTTAAAAGCCTTGTCTGCATTGATGAGTAAGCATTTTAAAAGTATTTAAAACCCTCACCTGGTCTGATATTTATAGCTTATGAAATTCAAGCAGTCTTGCAAAATTCAAGTGTGTTTTCATTTACTAAGGTGGTAATGGCAATATCCTTAAGTAGTTAGCTTCTTTATTGGTTAACTTAAGAAAACGTATATATTGTGTAAAGATTATTTCCCATTGTGAATATCTGCTTTGGCTGTTTAGCCATATGTCATGCATACTCACACCCCTATGTGTAAGTTCCTGTACTTACCCTTTTTTGTTTTTCACTTATGTTCTAATAACTCGAATCAAGACAGATGCTTTTATTTTGTCAGCAGTTTAACTGTGAGAAATGAAGCCTAAATAGACATACAATTTAAGCTGCTGTTCTAAATATTCTTTTTTTCTTTTAATTGTGGTTTTATTTATTTAATTTTACTGTGCTTTAGGTGAAAGTTTATAGCTCAAGTTTATGTCTCATTCAAAAATTTATACACATATTGTTTTGTGACATTGGTTGCAGTCTCCACAATGGGACAGCATGCGCCCCCGTTCCACTTCTGTGTCCATTTGTCTAGTTGCTGTTCCTTCCTGCTTTCTCTTCTTGCTTTTGGACAGGAGTTGCCCAGTTGGTCTTGTATATTTGATTGAACTAAGAAGCACGTTCCTCATGTGTGTTATTTTTTATTTCATAGGCCTGTCTAATTCACCTTTTTTTAAAAAAATTAGCAAGTATTTATGTGGCATCTTTAACCTTTCTAATAGACAAATGAGTATAAATATGTTTTGAGGAACCTACCTACATAGTTTGCATTAGAAATTGTGGGTTAGTTCACAATTCATTTATAGGTAAATGGATATACAGGAGTCAGGATTCCAAGAGAGGCTAAGTATGAAATGGAGAAAGTCCACTAATGTATGACTAGTTTGAAGAACATGTAACCCCTTCTGTTTTAGAAGTTTTTCTTAGTAGCTCACTGGTCTCTAAGTCACCATTTTTAACCTGTTTTAACAATCTTACTTTGTGATTATGTGTGTAATATGTAGAAAAATTGGTTTACTGTTCAGTCCTGGTAATCTTCCTAGTAATCTAGCTTTTTTAAAATCTAAAAAACCTAATGACTTTAGAAAAAATAGGTGTGCACTGATTTAATTGATATTTGATGAAGGGCCCTAGAAATTGAGTAGATTTTTCCCTGATGTTAATTTCTAAAGTGGAAAAACAAAGTTAGTTTCAAGGCAAAAACTTTTCATTCATGCTTACCTTATAAATTAGACAAAGCTGGAGACTAACTTGTTGACAAACAGATAAAGGAGGACAGACCTGAACTCCTAAATACTCTTAATTGGGAGTTCTTAATGTATGTTTTGGCTCTAGGAGGCTCATTAAATCATCTAAAATGATTTCTAAATGATTGATTGCCTTATTATTTCATGTTTATGTATCCCAATTCCTTTTATCACCATCATCTGACCCAGCTGGGCATACAGATGGTTCAACAGTTTTTCTAGTAGTTGAAATGAAGCCTTAGGTCCTGTGTTAAAAATGTGGCTAGTATGCTAGTCCTGGGCCAAATGTAATATAGAAACATCTTCTGTTTTCTTCTCTTTGCCTTTTTTTGTTACAACAAATGAGGATGAGCCCATCAACAGTATATGCATGATCCCCAAATAGGACTTGTGTGTCCCTTATGTATGAATAAGGAACCTTGGTGGCACAGTAGTTAAAGTGCTTGGCTGCTAACCAGAAGGTCGGCGGTTCAAACCTACCAGCCACTCCGTGGGACAAAGATGTGGCAGTCTGCTTCCATAAAGATTGGAAACCCTATGGGGCAGTTCTTCTCTGTCCTGTAGGGTAACTGTGAGTCGGAATGGACTGGACGGCAGTAGGTTTATTTATGGATGACTGTCCAGTGACAGCCAGACCTGCAGAGTAGCAGGATAGTCTTAGGAAGACCCCGTCCTTCAATGCCATTGGTCTTTTACTTCTTCTTTACCTTTCTAGGACTGACATCCTTTCCCTTTTAGTTACTTTGGCTCCTCACCTTAACTTGGATCTTAGAGGTAGAAGTGAGGGAAGCCTACTTCCTCTCCCCCCGGTCTTAGATGCCCTCAGCCTGTCCCTGTGCAAGGCCCTGGATGGCTTGAGGCTGGATGTGCCTTTGAAATGTACTTTTGTCTTCACACCTGCAGGTATTTATTGCAACTCACCTTCAGTGTTTCTGTGCCATCTTATCTCTAAAGCAGCTAAATGAAAGAGTGAGAAGCAATGGCATAAACCAGAGTTGTCACAGTTTCTCTTCTGATATCTGCAGTTTCAGAAGATTCTCTAAAGTATTTTTCTGTTTGAATTCCTTAAGATGTATATTATAGATCTCATAAAGAATAATTTTTAAAAAAGAAAG